GACAGATTTCGAGCAATATATGGCATCACGAGACGAGTAGAGCTCTATTCTTTTTACTGACGTCAACTAAGAAACTAGGCGTGAGCTACTGCTCCGCATCGGTGGAATCATCGGTGAGTTAGGTTTTCATACTGAGTGCTCGGTAGTACAGGGTGAAAATGGCTTGAGGGAAAGACAAATGGCTTGTCGAGGATTGTTTCACGCTCTTCCACGCGGATGCTGACTCTCGCCAGCTGCGAGCCGTCTGTGCTCTCCGCGCATTCATTCACTCTCGACACTACTCTCACACGGTAGAGAGCCATGGTCAAGGAATTCCTCGACCGTTATTCACCCTGCCGTAGTATTCTCGACGTTCTCTGACGTCAAGAATACTGTGCGCGGTGGATCGAGTAGCTAACGAATCAAAAGCTTCAGACTATCTCCAGGCCTCTGAAGAAGACGAAGCTGTCGAAACGTCAGGCCAGTCAATAAAGATTCCATCTTAAAAACCTCGTTCGGCATACAGTACAAAACATAATTGTAATCTAATGTTTTCTATGTAATGGCCCTCCCACATATTTCATGATGATGCGCTCGGCTCACTCATTTCTTTCCAGCATCAAAACTTTCGGACCAATGGACTGAGGAGTGTGACCATCTTTTTAAATACGTCGAGCAGTGCCAATCGTCAGATGATAAAAACATCATAGTGCGTGCCTACATTGATGTCCTCGAGCATCACTGGGTGCGTTTTATAGACAGACATTCTTGGGCATATTCGATGTTCTAGGTGCTGAGCTTATCATAGTTAGTTGTGCAGTGCTTCTAAACCTTATAAAATTCGCTCATTGCTTTTTTTTCAGAAAAGTTCTCACAAACTCAAAACTAAACTGCTGGAAATGTTGGAAATAGGAATTAGAGTGTGTCCCCATGACAGTTCTATCATTCGTAGGTAAGCTTTATTTGCTCAGCCCTGTGAACTCGCTCGTTTTTAGGTGTTCTGCAGTGATTACTTTTATTACTGGGTGTATTCCGGGAATCCAGTAGTTCCTGTTTTTCGAAGAGGTGTAATCATATGTGGCGTCGCGGCGGTTTCATAATTGTTTGGCATCACGTTTCATTCACTTAATCGAGGTTGCGATCCGGCCAGTAATCGTCATCAGATTGCAAAAGAAATTTCGGCCATCCACCCAATACATTTTGGCAATTACTGGACCTCATATCCGCAGTGATCTTCTTTGACCTTTACTAGAAACTTCTTATGCTTCAAAGTGGTCGATTTCCCTAGCTCGGATCAGGCTGTGACCAGAGAAAGTTCATTAGAATAACCCGATCAATTGGATTGAGGTGTACATTTCTATACACGCGCTAAAAGCCTGAGCTCAATCCGCTTTGCTTATTTGCTAAGGTGTTCTCTGGACAGAATTATAAAGCAAAAAACGTATCAAAAGTGGTCTGGGCTAATAGACAAGAGCTCGGTAGTTGTTGTACAAGAAGCACACGAGCAGTTCCTTTCGAGAAGTTTCTTTTGGCATATTTTTTTTTAAGCGCAATCTGAAACTTTTTGGTTGACCTTCGAAGATCATGGTAACTTATCCATTCAGCCCTTCACTAGAGTCTGTGGGGTGACATAATAATCATTGTAACCCGCAAACAAAATGAAAGTACCTATCTATACGCGCCTTGGGACGCCGAGCTCAAATATACTTTCCTTATCTGCTAATGGTAAGCTCTTGCCGAAAACTAATTATGAACCTGAAAAAAGCAGGGGCAGAGTCGTGGCTTACGGAGAAAGCGGTCATGGGATCGACTCCTTGGCAGCTCACATTTTGCCGGCTTTCAGTAGGGTAGCTAGGAAGATTCCTAACATCGCTAGTCCAACATGCTTGCGTATAGCTAACCGTACAAAGAATTTTTGGGCTATTAATAACGAGTTTGAGCGGCATCGCTCCTCACTATGTACTTTACGCGCTGGTAGCGTAGGCGAACGACATTTATGCTTCAAACAAGTGTGATATTCGCAATCAGGGAACTCTCCGGGCGAACTTACAGCCAGTTCTGAAACCATCGAATTTGACCTAATCTCGAAAATTTGAGCAGTCTCTTACTTATCCGTCCATCCATAACAAATAGCTGCCATTGGGGTAGAATAAACCTTCTAAACACTTCAGAATAGACTAACGTTGTGTCTGGCTTGCCCGTCTGCATCATCCAAAGATCTGCAAGTGATTATTTCCAAATACAACCCCTTCTCTCCCTCTTCCCCGTCGTCCATGATTTGTCAAACCAAAAAGTGGAATTTGAGGAGTGGTAATCCCATAACTGCTCATTTTTTTCTCAATTAGTTCATGACCTCAGGTTCGGCGAGAAACTCGTTTTAAGAGTGATTTTCTTTTAGGTTCATCAATTTATCCTCCTCGGGTGGACTAGAGCTGGTGAAAATTCGTCGTTTCCTCAACAACACACATATTAAGAATGGTGCGTTAGTTTTCTTTTCCCAATGCTGCTTTCCAATTTATTCTTTTAGATCCCACAATGGATATGTACCATTCATTGTCCTGTCTTTACCTAGAGAAACGTAAGGCGGAGAAACTGCAGGTGATTGTGGAATAGATTTTAGTTCCTATGCATGTGCAAGAAATAATCAAGCTTGAACCAAGATCAATACTCCTACATACACTCCTACATGTTTTTTGCTCAAAGTTGACCAAATTTTTTAGTTTGAATTTTATAGTAATGTTTTGTGTTTATTCTTCACTTAATAAGCGTATCATTTTCCCAGTATTGTGCTGTCCCGGAGCCTCATCAGGACCTAAATGTTATATAACACAAAAGGCACCAAAATTTATTTCAGAAAAATTCCAAAATTTTTTGCAGTTTTTTCGAATACTTAGTGAACTTTTGGAATTCTTTGGAAATAGGTTTTGGTACCTCTTTGTGTTACATAATATTTAGAGCGTATCACTGAATCAAAGTAAGAACAAAGACTGAGAAATTATTCTGCTACAACACATTAGTTGCAAAATCAAGTTGAATACTACAACGCTTACCATTAGATGTATAGATGTACAGTGCTTAAGTAGACGTCGCGATTGCAGTAGGGGTTGGGGGAGGGGTGGACCAGCTATTGATCTTTATGGTTTACCTTGCGCCCCTCTCACGATTGCGATCGCGATTGCAAGTGAATTCTGACATTACCTTACAATTCAAAAAAAGTCAACCATACAACAACTTTTAATGTGCGTTGTGGAGTTGGTAGCAGGGGCAAACGGGCGTCGAGGAAGATTTTGAGCAGCTCCGTCCCCCTTTCCCATGGCCGAAATCCATGAAACGACTATCCTCATCTCCTCATGAGCTCAAGTAGGAAAAAGTTGTTTGACGCTTCCCGAAGACCTATCATCAGGAAAAATCTTGCTACCCCGCCCTCTACCGTGAAAGCCGTTCAACGTAGAAAGCGCCAAACAAGTCACTATCAAGAATCCTACCAACAAATGGAGCAAGAAAAAACTCGTGAAAACTGGTCGTGAAAATAGCATAAGAAGTAGTATACTATGTTAGCATTCTTCTCCATTAATCTCCTACGAAAGGCTTAGTTCCAGTACACAAAGAATATTATCCTCAATCCACCTTTTGCTTGACAAAAGCCTTGTAACCGCTTAGCCAGCTGTGTGTTGACTGATTTTGGCGTTGACCGTGGAGCAGCTTATTACTATTGAAATTTGAACAAATATTCAAATGATTATAACTTTCTTCAAATATGACGAATTTTCAATCTGAAAGCAGATTTGGAAGTTTTGTGAAGAGCTCTTTTCTAATCAGTATTGAAATTACAAAAAGTTATAAGAAATAACAAATTTAGGTTTAAGGAGAAAAATCTCTGACGAGTGCAAGTTTTTATACTTTCCTAAGACACAAACTCTTTCAAGTTGTTCAATTCCGAAAAGTTATATAGCATTGTAGACTAGGAGATTTGTTCTATTCAACGGTTGTTAAAATACCTCGGCATTGGCTCTCTTTCAACGACTTAGCTAGAGTCGGGGTGAGCTTTCTACAAAAATGAAAGCAGATTCGCGCCAACAAGCTCTTTTTCTTTCCATTAAAAGTGGGAGCGTTCAGAGCGAATCCCAACTTTTATGACTATATGAACCCGTACAACTGACGGTATTAATAACATTGACGCTGAAAACTGCATTTTTTTGGATAGGTCTCTGTCATTTTACACGGTCCATTTCAGAAAACTCTTGATTTTTTCCGAATTGAGACTTTTCCTTCCTTCCGTACACGGAGCGCGCACAACTGACTGAGCCCATTCTGGAACGCACCGTGTCATTCACATTCCTCCATACTGGTGCTCCCACTTGAAAGATAAAATATCCCTAGAAAAACGTTCGAATTTCTTTCCAATAAGTAAAAGACTAACAATTCCGTAAGAATTTCGGGTTCTTTAACGTGGTCTTTATAAATCGCTGAGGTTGCTTGGAATCACTACGCGGACACTTTGAACCACGAAAATTTATGTGGCAATAACATTGTTATTGGAAATCCTCTGGCCAAGCTTGCACAGCATCGATCACTCCTTGATGTTTGTCCTCCGACAGCGATGATCCTGCTGCATCGATTCGGCCCAAATCCGTTCCTCCCAGCGGACCAAATACGACCCCCTCTCTCTGTCGACCTGTCGGGGATTGCTTCACGCACGTTCAATCCTGGTTGGTAGTTCGTTGAAATATGTATAAGCACTTCAGAAATTTCAGAAATTGTCGAAATTCTGTTATTAATGTGAGTTTTCAATAATACACAGCAAAGACATCTAATCCAGCAAAGATCTCAGATTACCTTGCACAGCTTACAAAAATAGAGCAATATTCACAAAGGATGTCTAGAAATGTGGGCGAAAGACAAAACCGCATATGTTTCTGCCCGCTACTGTATAATGAGGAAGCAATTCAAGTTTCATATATTGTTGAACTTGGACATATGCGTAATGAGTCTTGCTGCCATAATTAAAACGTATGTTTGAGGAAGCGGGCATTCCACTGCACACGAACATTATCGCGGAAATCACTCGAAGGGAAGCATCTCGTAGAATGGATCCCGCCTTATGGCGTTTGGCGATGGCACAATCTAAGACCAAGCGGTTTTTTGAAGAGGTATTACTCGGAAGTTCTTTTCAAAATAAGCATTTGGAGGAATGAATAATGTGAATGTTTTTAGTTTCATTTCTTCGTAAAATTCGTCACTATTTATTTATTTGTTTATTCCTCACGCTCAACGGGTGCCACAACCGGTAGGAAAAGTCGAGGAACTGTGCTGATAGTACACTGCGTTGCAAAAATATAAATCCACCTGGAAAGTTCTTGAAAATTCGCATGATAGGGTGTTTCTGAAAAAGCCTTTGAAAGAAAAATGTGCTCAATATAAATATAATTTCGAGTGTAAACACCAACTTCCATTTCGAAAACACGAAAATTTTTTATTTTCATTTTTCAGAAAAGGGCCACTTTGCCGATTGTGCAAAAATATAAATCCACCCCATGTTTCTCGGTTGAACTTCATTGTTATTTGGCGTAACTGTCAGGTTGTTTCCACTTCCTCTTTCTTAGGTGATGACGGAAGTAACACCGCTATCGGACTCCGAAAAAAGGCGAAATCTGCAAAAGAGTGGGGAGATTTGCCATGCAGACAAACCGCGCGTGATTTGAGCCCCGCTTATGTGGTTGTTGAGCATTTCGTCAAGAATCCTGCAGCATGTGGAATCCAGAAGAGCACTGAACCCTTTTCTTCGCGTTTCGGTTGCGATGACCGTAGTGTTATGGGAAAAGCAGCCGATTCTCCCAAGGGGTGCTCAGGAACTCAACCTTCAAAAAAACCTAATTTCTTGAAAGTCACCGTTTGGCGTGTGTTAGAAGAACTCTGAGACCACTCTTCGACGGAAAATGAGTATGGCACAGTTGAAGACACAAAGCCATCCCAAAAATCAAGCCAACTCTTCCATAATGTGTGCATGCTGCGCCAGCTGCATTAAGTTCGGCTTTCTACACGCTACTTTTTACTGTCTGTCTGAATTTCTCTCAGTTTTTTTTCTGCAGTGTGTTTGGCAGAGACAGGAACTCATATTGAAAAAGGAAACCAGTAAGAAAAGTGAAGACAGCCATCAAAAGGTACTGCGCGGCCAATATGGCCTCGCTCCGGCCAGATCGACCACTGATCTTGGGAAACTTGGCTTGATTTTTGCGATGATTCCGGATTTTTAAATGTGTCCTACTCATTTTCCGTTGAACAGTGGTCTCAGAGTTCCTCTAACACACGCCAACGGTGTCTTTCAAAAAATTAGGTTTTTTTGAAGGTTGAGTTCCTGAGCACCCCTTGGGAGAATCGGCTGCTTTTCCCATAACACTACGGTCATCGCAACTGAAACGCGAAGAAAAGGGTTCAGTGCTCTTCTGGATTCCACATGCTGCAGAGTTCTTGACGAAATGCTTAACAACCACGTTAACGGGGCTCAAATCACGCGCGATTTGACTGCACGGCAAATCTCCCCACTATTTTGTAGATTTTGCCTTTTTTCTGAGCCCGACAGCGGTGTTACTTCCGTCATCACCTAAGAAAGAGGAAGTGGAAACAACCTGACAGTTACGCCAAATAACAATGAAGTTCAACCGAGAAACATGGGGTGGATTTATATTTTTGCACAATCGGCAAAGTGGCCCTTTTCTGAAAAATGAAAATAAAAAATTTTCGTGTTTTCGAAATGGAAGTTGGTGTTTACACTCGAAATTATATTTATATTGAGCACATTTTTCTTTCAAAGGCTTTTTCAGAAACACCCTATCATGCGAATTTTCAAGAACTTTCCAGGTGGATTTATATTTTTGCAACGCAGTGTAGAACCAAGTCTAGGCAAGAAAAAACGAAAAGAAAACAGGAAAGAGGTGACTAGCCAGCATGAATTGGTCGGTCTGGCAGGGAGGTATAACATAGAAGGGAAAGAAGGGCTAATAATACGAATACTATTCCAATTAATCGGCCCAGTAACGTCATTGTTTGTGCTCAAAGTCGCAACTTGCAGACGCACGTTTTGGCAGCAGCTCAGTGTGGATGGTCGCGTCATCTTCACATAGATTGCGTTGCGGCAAGCGCTTCTCGTCAAAAGTGTCAGGAAATGATGTACGTCGTTTTATCAGGACGATGTCTTAGTTGCACTATAAGTTGATTGCGTTGATTGGATGTCCTTTGCAGAAGTCTTATGGAGGAGCGAGGAGCGCATGTATTCAACGACCTCGGTTATGTTGATGTTCTCAAAGGGGCGATATCAGCGGAACCATGGTAATCAGTGAATTCGAAAAGTAAGCTGCACAACTCCCACGTGCTGTTCAATTTTCTTCTTGTAGTGGCGAGACGCCGGACGTTTTTCTAGCAAGTAGGCTTTGACTCAGTCAACATCTCAGTGGCGATATTCAATTGGTGGATATCTAGCTTTGAATGGTGCACTTTCAAGGTGAGCAACATCCGTCTTTTCGATAATTTCATTTAGTAAATGGATCAGTAGAAAGTGCGAAAAACACAAAGGGTATCTGTAATACATTATTTTTAGCTGTGTAAGAGGTAGCAGCTAAAGGAAGTACGATTGAGAGATCGCCTATGAAGCTTACTTGAAGAATTTCCTTTGGCAGGAGGCAGGATCTGTCAGCAGTGATCACACACCAGCTCGCAGATGTGTTTCAAAGTGAAATAGCTTATTTTATCTGTTCTTTAAAATTTTGTTGATTCTCAGTCTTTCATAATGTGCAATGTGGCTGATTGTTTTGAAAAGCGTTTTTTTTTTGAAGTTTTTTCGCATACTGTTAGCAAATCCGTGTGAATATGTTAATGTTTCGCGTTATGGTGACATTCTTCTTGAGATATATCATCACTGTGTCGCTTCGTGTGGCTCATTTTTTTTTTGAAAAAAGTTTTAATAGACTCAATGTCTTCAGATTTTATCTCATGAAGGGTTGTCGTGCGGGTGTTTCTTTGCCTTTTTTGCCTTTTTAAAATGTTTTTGGAATCGTTAATAGATTTCTTTTGACTTGTTTCGTCCATATGTTGTTTCATTGTATCTCCGAATAGATCGTATACATATCTGAAAACAACTTTTCTTTCGTGTTGATGTACTTGTTCAAGGCGAAAGCTTATCGGAAGCCTTTCTAACACGAAGTTCAACACGTATTCTTTTCTCAGGTCTTAGTGTTTCCAGATGGCATCAGGGTTTGATACCGCCTTGAACATAGGCGGAGTTACACAGGACTCGTCGCAAGGTTTCAGTCTTCGCATGTTTAGGTAAGTTTTAATACCTCGAAATAGTACGGAGTTATGTAATCCTTATTCGATCTAGTAAGCCGTCAATCGTGCTTGCCCATGTGGCTTTCAAAGGAGCAGCATTAGCTTACTATTTTCTTGCCAACTGGTTGTCGTCCTCGTTCATCGTTCAATTTCTTGTTATCGTAAGTTTATACATTATTTCAATACGCCGTTTCGTTTTTGTCAGCTTACTTTCAGCTGACATTATTATCCATGGACTTTTGGACAGTAAAGAATATAACTGGAAGACTGCTCGTTGGACTGCGATGGTGGAACTTCGTCGATGACAACGGTAACAACCACTGGAAATTCGAAAGTGCTAAGGTGAAGATGACTGGGTGTCCTTCGAAGTTTTCTTGGCTGACAAAACACCGGCTTAAAAAGCTGCGGCTACTAATTTTTTACTTCTTTAGGACCAATCGCGTTTCCCTGTCATGGATCGGCGTGCTTTTTGGTTTGGCCTTGTCTTAGGGCCATTGCTGTGGCTTTTCTTTGTCACTATGGCCTTCTTTACATTTCAAGTTTGTTGACGATAACGCCGACGTACTGTTGTCGACAGCGTATAATAGCGATATACAGGGTGGCTACTAAATATTGGCGCATGGTTTATTGATCATATTTCCAAAAAGAGAAGCTATCATATCTTCAGAAGTTTATTTTCATATACAATAAAACATGAAAATTCATTACCAAAGAAAGTGCTCGAGATGGCCTCCTTTGGTAGCGATACAGGCTTGAAGTCTCTTTTCAACTGACATCACCGTGGGCCGCAAGTAGCCGACGTCGGCGTGATGTGAGTAGATCTTCAGACCAGAAAGGGCGCACGATTTGCAAAACGACAAGCAGTTGTTGGATCTGGCTAGCAGCCATTGGAGCTCAACCCTTGTGCTACACACAAGGAAGCGTTTGTTCAAATGATTCATCGGTATGCGGCAGGAATTACTTTTGCAAACCATGTCCCCCAAACCCCGGCCTTTTCCGGTTGGTATGTGGTATTGAAATACATCAAAGCCAGCGCCCAGATCTACCCGGAAACAATTTTCACGTAATGCCCTTCTTCCAAGGACTCTTTTGACCTTCAGCGAACGTCATTGCATTCTTCAGCAAGACAGGGCGCCTCCACATGCCGCAAAATCAATGTTGGAGAACTGTGACCGTCATTTTCCAAGTTACCGGGCACAAAATGTTTGGCCATCTAAGTCGCCCGATTTGAACCAATTGATTTGGCGGTGTGGGGCTTCTTGAAGCAGAAGATGCCTTCTGAGCAACGTCGAAGTTTGGACTCCCTGAAGGCTTCCTTGGAGGAGGCGTGGAAGGAGCTTGACGTCAGCTACTTGCGGCCCACAGTGATGTCAGTTGAAAAGAGACTTCAAGCCTGTATCGCTACAAAGGAGGCCATCTCGAGCACTTTCTTTAGCAATGTACTGCCATGTTATAGGGTATATAAATATAAACCTCTAAAGATGCAAAAGCTTCTCGTTTCAAAAATATGGTCAACAATCCATGCGCCAATATTTAGTAGCCACCCTGTAAACATTGGTTGAGCTTCGAACATAAGTTGGTCTGGATCTCAACGCCTAGAATAAGTGAGCTCGCTGTCTGAAGTCGTAGTAGGCGTAAACCGTCCGTCGTGTAGATTCGCCGGGGAAGGCGGGCTGCTGGATTTTTAGAAAAGGAGGGAGTTGTGTTTTTTGATTTTTGCGTATTTGTGATCTTGAGAAGAGGCATTGCTGATTTCTAGAATGGGTCGGATGGTGAAAGTTAGGAGCCGTGTTGCAGTGGAGGGGAAATGAAGATGGTTTTGCGCGTAGGGTTCCCACGGTGTTTTTGCGAAAAATTGCATACGCTGGTTAGAATTGGAGAATTAGCCTGTATTTATTTAACGTTAGAGCCCGTCCCCTTCCTGTGTTCAATGGCAACTTGGAGGAGGAACTATTGGGCGGGGTTGGAGTGTACATGGTCTCAGATCACTTGGTGATGCCCATTCCATTGCCCTTTTTTCTCCTTGCAAGACTCACCACGCACAAATCTGTCAGGGTTACCGTATGAACAACCTATGAGGAAAATAGAAAATCGGTTTATTGAAACATGCATCAAGCAGCTCAGGGTAGTTAGGTCTCCCTTGTTGAATCGCCTTTTGCCTTTCTTGAAAGGAACAAGTCTTTTCTCGAGAAGTTGGAGCAGCTAGGAGTCGACGATATTGAACACCCAAAGTCGGATCTCTCTCATTCACGAAATAGCGTTAGGTATAGCAGCGGAAGCCTTGGTTCGTGGCTTACATTTAGCACGATTCTGCGATTTATTAGAGGGTTTCTGAACTTTGTTTCACTTTTTGTTAAAATCAAACTTGACCGGTTGCGGTCTACACAAAGAGTTGGCGCGATACAATCTATATTTCCTTTTCATTGTCACAAGGGAGAGCTAGCCCGGTTGGCAAGCGCCCGTCTGCTGAACCTTTGCTGTAGCGTTGCATCGGGGTTGGAGGCATTTAGAGATTAACACGAAAGTCAACAACTTCGTGGGGGCCGTAATTGCGGAAGTTAAGGGGATCGTGGGTTGCGGGAGGGAGCACGTTTTGAAGGGTTTTGAAGATTTTGGGAAAGCTTCAGGAGAGAAATGTGAAATAGACAAAATTAGGGTATTTTCTTCAGAGCTATTCACCGGCTCCCGCGCTCGACGTTAGTTCTGGAGAAAACATATGAACGGGTTTGGAGTGTTGTAAATGGTTCATAATCAAGTATTCAGAAACAGCAATGGAGGTAAAGGTGATGGTAGTTGTGAGAGCTGGAAGGGAGTCTGTATCGAGGGCCTTTCCATGGTGACGGTGGGGAAAGGGGTTAGTAAGCACCCTCTAAATCGCCTTGATACAAGGGTTCACTGTGGGCCGCCTGGTCATGCGTACCAGTGACGCTCCATCGGTGCTACCGGCTAAACCTCCAGGATGGTGAAGAGACAGTGTCCAAAACGTCCAAGTAGGGTGGCTTTTGTATTCAATGAAAGCGATCGGGTTGACACATTGCATTTTTCCAGCACTCATGCAGTCTTCGATATTGTTTAGTTTTCGCTGAACATTGGTGCATTACGATTTCTGTGTTGTTGTTTTTTTTTTCAACTCATGCTTTCTAGTGGGAATGGATGATTGTCGCGTTATTGGGTCTTTCAATGAATTCCGCAAACCTTTACGCGGCATTACTTTGCGGTGCCGGTTTGCGGCGGGATACTAATCAATTTACCAACTATCTTTCTAAATGGGCTTTCCTTTCGGTTCGTTTGCTTATATTTGTTGGAGAGCGGGTTTTTCTTGTAAGCATAATGTTTCAATTAAAGGTTTTGCGTCGTCAAGCTCCTCCCAGTTCTGATCCACTGCAGCAAACGATTTAACGGAAAGATTTTCTCATTTGTTGCTTTTGATGTCTCTGTGATACAAGTGGTCAATCGGTTGAAATTGTACTTATAATTTATTTATCGTTGGGCAACATGCCGCATCTACTATCATTTACTCCTTCTCTATATGGCAGAAAATGTTGGGGCAATAAATAATTCTGCTGGATTGTTTGTCTAGATCCCAGGTAAATTCATTGAATTGCGTGCACACCTGGAGCTATTTGAATTGATTCGTGGAGATTTGATGTCACAGGTAGATTATGTCACCCTACATTTCCCAGTCTCTTGTTTATGTAATCCACATTGATTGGTCCAAGTTTTTTTTTCAAATTGAGAAATTCGGCTCACCATAAATTCCATGGATTCCGGAACCACTAAAAATTATATAGTTGCAAGATTATTTCAAAAATTTCGAGGGTAAGTGTTGATAAATTCAGCGATGTGTCTTTCTAGCCTTTTGCTTGAAAAATATAAAATCACATTTGGCAGGACCAACGACTTTCAGCTTATAAGGTCAAACGCCACCTCGAAAGTCTAGCGCAACAATTTGCTTCTGCTTCAGCTAGTCAAGCACGCTTTTTTGCAGTGTTGTCAACCTACGGGAAGAGGTCCCAAGGCAGCTAGGGGTGCTTAGGATTCATACTTCAACCTAGGGAAGTGGAAACGCTCAGGGATTTATGACACACTTCTTTCATTCCAGAAGCCCCTTTCCCTGTGAAGGTCAGCATCATTCCTATGGCTTTGTTGATTGCTTCTTCGCATAATCCAGTACCAAATGCTATTCCACACGTCTCAACGCGGCTAGGATTAGACGGCGATAGTGTGGGCGTGCCGCGATGCGGGGGTAGGACTGCTGGACCACTGGAGGCAGATTTTTAGCAGGGTGACACAACATCTTTGTATTTTGCTACCTCACGCAAGCAAGCATAGGATATATAAAGATCAGGCGAAAGCTAGTGCACTTCAAGTGTCAGTCATTATTATTTTGGGCATAAGGAGCCATGCATGAAACGCTCCGTAAAAAGATGCAAGGGAATGGATCCCTGCACTGATTAGAGGTAAGCAAACCAGCCCTTTTGGCGCTTCGGCTGGGACCGTATGCTGAATGTTGGGGAGGGGATGGAGTCCCCGACGGTGGACGGACCACTTCAACTCGGTCCTTAAACCGCCACAATTTGATGCTTACCTCAGGACTAAGCCTTAAAGAGAGGATAGGGTCCGTCCTCTCTCCAAGGCTTAGACGGGTTCGTCTGAGGAAGGAGCGAAACGAACCATTTTAATTATTTCGTTTATAAAGGTTTTTCTTTCTTAATTAGCCCTGGGGTAAGCAAACCAGCCCTTTTGGCGGAGCTGCTGGACCTAGCTGCTCCAGTACTCGTCAAATAGCACCGAATCATCAGTCCTTTCAGCGCACCATATCGTGCCCTTGGAGCCGTGGAAAAATTATACCGGTGGGGAGAATGGAATCCTCAAGTTGGATGAGGTGGTTCTTAATACACTAGAAGCATCTCCCGAAGCTTGCTCTCTAAAAGTCGCAGTTTCGATTGGCGTCAAAGAATCGCTGGGGTTTAGATTCTATTCAAGCAACACACGGAGGCATCAGTGGTGGTATGCAGCATAGTAGCGACAATGACCTCCAAGAGGTAACCTTCACCCAGAGTAGCGATTGTTGGAATGCATCATCACAGACTTCGACCGACACCACCACTGCTAGCGCAGGCACCTATCGCTTGTAGCTGTGTTGACCTTGCTTGGCATATTGCCGAGTTGAGGCCTCCAATAAATGAAATTGTTCCACTGCACGGCAACTTGCAACTCACATGTCAGGATAAGGTCGAAGAAGGGAAAAAAATCAATGGAGAGACAGGGGAACACTAAAGGTAGAGACCGGCACGCAGTTTCAAACGAAACGTCCCGGGTGCATTGGTCAACCCTACGTTGGTACAAGTACCAACGGGGGGGGTCGTACTTGGTTTAGGTTGGAGGGGGGTCGTACTTGCTTTCGATTGTAAGAATTTAGGGAATTTTGGCAAATTTTTACTGTTTCAGAGTGACTATATACCCCCCGCTCGACGGCATTTTTGG